CTTCTCTTCACACGTTCTCCGATGCTTCCGAAGCAGCATATGCCGCAGCGGTTTACATTCGACACGAGTATGAAGACAAATCTATCACGGCACGTTTAGTTGGTTCGAAGACCCGGCTTTCTCCATTAAAGGCAATGAGCATCCCACGACTCGAGCTCATGGGGGCAGTAATTGGACTACGGTTGACGAAACAGATTAGTACTGTTCTGGAGATCCCTTTGTCACCAGCAACGTTCTGGGTTGATAGCATGAACGTTGTCTATTGGATACACGGACAGAGTCGTAACTACAAACCATTCGTTTCCCATCGCGTAGGGGAAATCCACGAACAGTCGGACCCCAACCAATGGCGTTATGTTCCCACAAAACAGAATCCAGCGGACTTCGGAACCAGAAGACTAACAGTTTCAGAATTAGCAGACAGCGAGATGTGGTGGAAAGGTCCGACCTTCTTGGCGTTTCCAGAAAGTGACTGGCCTAAACCAAAAGCAGCAAATCCAAAAGAGGAAGCCTTGACAGAAGTGAGAGCTGAGCGAAGACCAGATCTAAAGAACCAGCTTTCCAGACAAGAGGAAGAGAACGACAATCAAAATTCAGAACAGGAACATTCAACCTTCGTTATTCTCGAAAAGGAAACTTGGCGTTTAAACCCAGCAAGATTCTCCAAATGGTACCGAGCTTCTTCTCAGGGACAGTTAGAAATCGGATACCCACTGGTTCGGGTGAGGAGTTGGGTCATGCGATTTATCAAGAACTGTAGAGTCCCTGAAGAGCAACGCATCAAGGGAGAATTGACGACAAAGGAACTCTCGGACACCGAACTTGACATCATCAAGGAAGTACAGAAAGAGGTTTTCAACGAAGAAATTATTGCACTAACGGCAAGAAAGGAGTTGAGCAAAAGAAGTCATCTGCTCCCCCTTACACCGATGTTGGCTGGAGGCTTATTACGATCAAATACAAGACTTCGGCGATCAGATGACCTGGCGGCTGACACCAAGTTCCCGATTATTCTGCCAAAGAAACATCACGTGACACAGCTGATTGTGAAGTATCATCATGAGATGGAAAGTCACGAGATGGGTGTCAACTATACACTCAATCACCTGTGATCAAGATACTATGTGATTCACAGTCGACAAGAAGTAAAGGCATGCATTCATAACTGCTTTGAATGTAAGAGGCGTTTTCGACTCCACCCTGCCAAGCAACAAATGGCCCCGTTGCCGCAGTTTCGCTTACTGATGACTAACAGACCGTTTACCAATTGTGCAACAGATTATGGTGGCCCTTACTTGACCATGCAAGGACGTGGAAGAGCTTGAACCAAACGATACCTGTGCCTTTTCGTTTGTTTACAAACCTGCTGCTGCCACCTGGAAATGGCCACATCCCTAGACACAGGTAGTTTCATGAACGCGTTCACCAGGATGACTGCTAGAAGAGGATGGCCCAAGATAATGGTTAGCGACAACGGATCAAACTTCGTCGCTGCAGACAGAGAAATTCGAGAATTAGTCGCAGAATTAGATCAAGAACAAATCCGACGTACAACACCAAACAAAGGCGTGGAGCGGTATTGGAACCCACCAGCAGCACCGCACTTCGGTGGTGTATTCGAAGCCTTGATTAAAGCGGCAAAGCGAGCTATTTCAGCCATTTTACAAGCCGCAGACGTCACAGATGAAGAGCTGCAAACCTGTTTTACAGGAGTCGAGAGTTTGCTTAACTTGAGACCACTAACGACCATCAGTGATGACCCAAACGACGAACCAGTACTGACGCCAAACCACTTTATCATTGGTCAGATGGGCGGAGACATAGTTCCAGATAGTGTTGACACGACCGAGTTCAACCCTCGTCAACGATGGAGGCGAATTCAAGAGCTCATTCGTCGCGTATGGCAACGTTGGTTGAAAGAATATCTGCCATACATTGGTTCTTGACACAAGTGGTTCTCTAAGGAAAAGAACCTGAAAGAAGACGACGTAGTGATTGTGATCGACCCCGATGCAAGACGACGAGACTGGAAAGTAGGCAGAATTCTTCGCACCAACCCTGGAGCGGACGGTCTCGTGCGAGTAGTAGATGTTAAAGTTGGAGATAAGATTTTGAAGAGACCTATTACCAAACTTTCACCGCCAGAAATGCAAGAGTGACACTGATAGAGACAATGACAATCTAGTTTATATTTCGGTTTGAATTTTGACTCAGTATTTCGTGTTCAATTGTTATATTTTTCGTTTCGTTATAGTAAGAATTTCAACATTAAGGCAATGATTATAATTCTGGAGGGGGAAATGCTATAGAGACGAAAAGGATAGTGCGTTACTATTTCGTAACATTGCGTGACCTCCGGTTGAGTTAATAATATCAAATGTAATATAAGATGATTTTGTAACATAATAAAGAAGCACATTGAAAAATCAAGTCTGGGTACATGTGAAATCGAACATCGATCCCGAAATGTTTACAGGAAATCGCGAGTTATCGAACATCGGAATTATCGGAAACAACACAAAGCCCTTTGGAGGTATTAGTATTATAGCCGTTGGCGACTTGTTTCAACAACCACCAGTCATGGATAGTTACATATTCAAAGATATGAATCACTCAGAATATGCCATTCTTGCACCCAATCTTTGGAATGAACTTTTTAAAATGTTTGAACTCAATGAAATAATGAGACAACGAGAAAGCAAAGAGTTTGCTGAGATGTTGAACAGACTTAGAGAGGGAAAGCATACAGAACAAGATATTGTTAACTTAAAACAAAGAATAATAGAAGCCAACAATAGTAACTATCCACTTGATGCACCACATCTTTTTACAGAGAATGAAAAAGTAAATAAGTTTAATAATAGAGCACACCGTAGCATATCTGGTACTAAGTATACAATTAAAGCACATGACAGTGTCATAGGAGCTACATCTACTGAACTAAGAGATAAAATAATGAAGCAAATACCTAACCTGGAACCAAAAAACACTAAACAGCTGCATTACAATCTAAATCTTGCAGTTGAAGAAAGAACAGAAATATCACTGAATACAAGAATTGATGATGGCATAACAAATGGTGCTAGTAATGTAATTAAACTGATTCAACTTCATGCACCAGACAGACCATCTGGTGTCATATGGGTCCAATTTGACCATGCTGATGTAGGTAGAAAAACCAGACATGATAACAGACAATTGTATACCCAAGGCATCAAGCCTACTTGGACATCTAACAAACCTGTTACCGCAGTGTTTGCATTTGGTAAAAATCGAACTGTTCAAGTTGTAAGAAAACAGTTTCCACTTAGACCTGCTGCTGCCAAAACAATTCATAGATCACAAGGTGACACAGAAACCAGAGTTGTAGTTAACTTTGGAACTAGACGAAGAACAATTCCTCATATGCATTATGTTGGGCTCAGCAGAGTAACAACTATAGAGGGACTGTACATCACTGAGCTCAGTGAAGACAAAATAACTGTTAGCTCAGAAGTTGAGAAACATATGAAGTATCTTAGAACAGAGGGCAAACTTGAACTATGCATTTCACCTGTCTACAATGCTGATGAGAGAGCTATAAAAGTGTGTTTCTTGAATGCACGTTCTTTGCATAAACATATTGATGATGTGCGTGCAGACTTAAACTACCTAAAAACAGACATCAATATTTTTTCTGAAACACGTTTCAGTAATGCTGATAGCAATACCATGTATCAAATTGGACAGTATAGTTTATTTAGAAATTATGATATTCGTAATGATAATGGTCGTCCATATGGCGGGACAGTAGTGTATAGTCGCATTGATTATTACCCTGGCTATCGATTCTGCTGTAATAGAAGTGGAATAGAAATAATTGCAATCAGATTAATGGTTATTCCTCATATAACAATTATAGGAGTATACCGCTCTCCTAGAGTGCCAGTTAGTCAATTCTGCACTGCTCTAAGGCAAACACTCATGCTATCTTCAACCAAGTTTAATGTGTTTATTGGAGACTTCAATATCAATTGGCTCAATGAATATCAATGAAGACCACTTTATGATCTCTTTGTCAAGGATAACAACTATAGACAGCTAGTGTCCTGTTATACAACAGATAATAAGACTTGTATTGATCATGTATATACAAATTTGCCTGAAACACATGTGAATGTCAATATATTAGAAACATATTTCTCTGATCATAAAGGAATTTGTGCATTAATTAGCTGCTTCAGCTAAATAATAACGTTGGCTCCTTAAGTTCCCATAGTGGCCAACATAGCATTCAAAACAATCAAACTAACTTTAAGCAACTAAAAGCACATAATTATATTGTTAATTGTTTTAACTTAACAGATCAATAGAGATACTGCCAACATGTCTCAGTCATCGGACTCATCACCAAAGTAAGTATACCTTTAACAGTGTTTTTTTTTTTTTCATGTGTAAGATGTTTATATGGAGTCCTGTTTTTCAATCATTATAAGATAATTTACCTGTGCCTATTCTTCTTTTTTCCAGAAAAAATAATCAAGAGTCCAAATTTACATGTAAGTAACCACAGTATTTCATTTAATACTTTTTTGCCTAACAAACAACTACATACCGGTTACTCTGGACCACAGTAACACTTTTATGTAATACTTACAGTATTTAGTACTTATTCAAATTTAAATGAATTCTAAATGAGTACCGGTAACTTCAAAAGTCCATGTCAGTCTTACACTTAGTTTGATACTTAGTGAAGACCACTATACAATAGCAGTTCCAGTAATGAAGGTTTTGCCAATTATTTCACTAAGTAAATTGCATTCTAGTCTCACATATGCATGGCTTAAGTAAAATCAAGACTGCATCCAATGGTACAACAAATTACTTTGACCTCAAGCTCCAGACGCCTGACAATAAAACTGTTCGCCTTGTTTGTTTTTCACCACCAAAACGGAGCATTCTTCTAACTGCATATGAAAAAAGATCACCAGTTAAAATAGAAGCCAACTTGAACCCTAAAAAAACGACTTAACAGCGACTTAGAAGAGTACACAGTTCCTAAGAGTGCTAAAATAATGCCAACTGAGCTAGAGTTCAACTTCAATGAGAATCTTGACAATCATTTACATGCAGTCAGTCAAGCACTTCAAGCCAACATCTATACCACTGTAGACCTTAAGGTCAAAGTCATTATCAAAGAAGAGAATAAGAATCCCATTGTTCAAGACACAAAAACCAGATACAAGTGTGACACACTAGTGGCTGATGAAACTGGATGTGCTAAGTTGGTGTTATGGGAGAACACAATAAATCAAGTGGCAAGAGGAAAGTCCTACCATTTCAAAAATGTAACTGTGCGCATTTTCGATGATGAGAAATATCTGAACACCAATGAATCCACAACAGTTGAAGAAATAGATGATATTCAGAATATCAACGTTGACGCACCAGAAATCAAGAATAATCTCCTCAAAGTGAAATTGGTAAGAGTAAACATAAAGAAGTCACCATCTTGCTTGGCCTGCAACCACACATTTCCAACTAAAGAGCAACAAGCACCAGATGAAGAAGAAATAACCTGTACCAATTGTAACATCGCAACACTAACATCTTTCTGTAACACAAAGATGGTGGCACAAATAATTGTTAAAACTACTACTCAAGAATCAGATACCTATACATGTTTCAATGATGGCATCGAGAGTTTTCTCAAGAATGTAAAATCTCCTAAATCTCTGACACAAATAGAACCAGCAGAACTTAAATTCCTCCTCTTGAAATCTGGTCAACACACCATAATAGTTGACAAAAAGGCAAAAATCATAGCCCAATTTCTACCTGCCCCTAATCACCAGTCAACTGTAACACCCTGAGGGGCAGGAGGAGGCTTTTTGGTCATATATTGAAAGAGAAAATGTTACTTGTGCGGTAAGAACTGAGAGTTCACAAATATTCTGATATTAATAATGTTTAATTGATTATTTTCTGTGAAACTCACGACTATTGTTTTTCACATTGAGTTCAGCAAAAAAAGGCAACACTTGTCAATTTGTTACAAGAATGTGAAACTGTGCACATTCAGAGGTGTGGCAAATAGTGGTATCTACTAAAACTAGAACACCGGAACATCCACTAACAATGTTAGTGAACAGTTAGAATCAGGGTTGGAATTGACGGTTAGTGGTGAGCGATTAGCAGCTTGGGTTTGCATTTACTGTTTTTGGTGGTTAGGATTTTTTAAAGGGTGTTCCAGCCGCTTCTAAGTTGTTCCGCTACAACAGTGTTCCTGGTTTTAGTACACGCCAAAAGTAGTGTAGTTGTGTTTGTAGTTAATAATTTCAAAAATGCATTCATTGCATCTACAAGCAGAACATCTATCTGATTTCAAACCATGAATTATGTAAATCGCCAGACGATGCACAAGATTGTGTTTTCTTATGTTGCAGTTTAAAAAAATAAATGCATTTTTTTTTGTTAAAAGGCATTTACATTGCTTAAATTGCCAGTGAATGCACAACTTCAGTTCTGTTTAGTTATCTTGGGGTTAAAAAAAAACTGGATGCAGTTTTTCATAACCTAATTTATACTGGACTCATGTGAACAGTTAACAAATGTTCATGTTGATTTTGTTAAAAAGCATTTACTTTCCTTAGAGTACATTACAGGTCGAAAGCAGCCAAAGTCGAATTGTGAGCCAAAGATAATTACTTAAATCCACACAATTAAAGCGTTACATTAGCCTCACTTTATATTGTAGTTAAAACAAAACAACCTCTTTGTATCTACAAATATGCAAAGATGACTTGAATAAACTGTTACTGTTATTTCTTTACAACTAAATAGTGTTACAGCCTTCCAAGCTTCAACCTTAGTTCATTATCTTTGTTCACTGAAGTGTGATCCAGGAAAGGTCTTTAGCACTTCATCATTCTTTGATATAAAGTCTTCAAATGCCAACAAGACATTGCCCCAAATTTTGCTGAACACGAATAATATAAATAATATTTATCAAATTTTCAACCCAAGCAACAACCTTAGGCCACAACACTTTACCTTCACTGTCAGAAAAACTTTTCTCTCTATCATTCTTTTTTATTTGTTTTTTCTTTAACGAAAATCCACATTCATTTTCCCATCTTTGTCCTTGTGCTCACATCCAACCCTTTTCCATTTGATTATTTGACAAACACCTGACCTGTGTTGACTTCAACTTCATGCAGCAATTCCCATACTAAAATCTTAACTTACTATAGCTGAAACCATGTGCACTCCCGCGAGTGCTATTTTTTTTGTTTCCTGAGCTGTGCTACTGCAATGAAGATAGGTATTGTTTTCTATACCAGAGCTGTAAATTCGCACTTAAGTTTCCTACTTTAATGGCCTAGAGTTTATTGCATCCGTCTTTTTAATTTTGAGATTCTTCCCGTCGTAGAAACAGATGGAATATTTAAGTAGTTTTCGTTTAACTTCAGAGAGACTTTTTTCCGCTCCTTTGTGTCCTTATTCAAATATTGCGATTTGTGTAACAAAAGCACTTCACACCAGTTAGTTCTTAAGCAAGTACCTTGTACAGCTTTGATGATTACAAACTAGAGTATGCTAGAGGTCATGTCGCTTGTTGGCCTGACCTAGAATAAAAGTACTGTGGAACCAAAGATTGTCTTATCCTTGACATCCGTATAAGCTCGCTTGAAGTAGATCTCCATGTACCAGGAAATCATGACGAGTTTCCATTCTCGCTGCCAAGTCGTCTCAACAGAGTTATTTCCCCCAGTTGTTATTGTGCCGTCCGCGAAGATTCAGTTTTCCAGTTTTGGGGCGAAATCTTATCGTCACAATGTTTTCGAAAAAGTCAAAAGCAAAAAGGAAAACTGGTTGTCAACCTAAGTGGAATGATGATGACGTGGATGACATGGCTGATTTACTTGTGAACAATGACTATTATAAAAGAAAACTGATATTCACAAACACCAAAAATCAAAGTAATAGTGAAATTTATGAGAATAAAAAAAGAATTGCAAGAAAGAGCAGCAAAGAGGAATTTACAATTGGTGTTGAGCATTGACCAGATAAGAACTAAATTCAAAAAATGTGTAAGAGACTGGAAAAATGCAGCAATGACAATCAAAACAGAAACAGAGATCAAGAGATTCCAAGATAACTAGGGATATGGGAAATGGTTCCTGATCCTATTTGCTGTTGTAAAAACGAGAGAATCATGTCAACCAGAGCAAGCAATAGAACCATAACCATTACCATGTTCATCATTGTCTCAATTAGATAAGCCAAGTGATGAGGATCTTGAGAGCACTGGAAGTGCAGAGACTGAAATGTTTATTCCTATATAAAGAGCAATAAAAGAAAAAAAAAAGAAATCCAATTGATGCAGCCTTAGGGACATCTCAGATCTTGTGAAGGAGGTGGTAAGAAATGATTCCACCAGAGACCTTATAAATGTTATGAGGGAAGAGAGGGACAAAGCTCAAGAGTATGAGCTGAGACTGTTTCACCTTCCACAAAGCTCAAGGCCAAATGCAAGTAATGCATTCACAGATTATGACCAACAACAACAACTAGTGGTATGTAGTAGGTACAGAGTGGATCCAGTGGCAGTGAAACACCTGTTAGTGGAATGTATCAGTCATTGTACAGTCAGTGGAACTAAGGACTTGTAACTTGACTAAATACTTTATCTGAGTTCATGCTTTACACTCCTACATTAACATAGCATTGCCAAAGTGACTGTTGTTTTTTTAATGAATGCATGATGGAACAGAATAGAAGATTCAAGGTATCAGGTTCAAGTTTTACTCATTAACATTAAGAGTGAATTTTCATAACTGAAATTCATAATTTTCCAGTTCATGTTCATAAAAGTTAAAACAAAAAACAAAAAACAAAAAAAAAGGGCACTACATCAGTTTAATGTCAACAGTTGTACTTACAGTACATGTATTAAAATTTAATTTTTTGATCTGTTGAGTAGTTCTGCTGATATCATATGCTTTGAAAATAAAGGAAAACATAAAATGCCCAAGGGTAAAGATGTACAGTAATCAGTAGTGATTTCTATGTTAAAGTGCCCATGAAACGAAATTTTTTTGCATTTTCTGGTTGATAGTGGTATTTAAAAATTAGAAATAATCGACCTTAGGGCCGGGCGAGTTCTTCTTGTCCACTTTTTTGTGCATTGAAAGTACAATTTAGCAGCCAAAAAGTGTCCTCATAAAGCGTATGGCCAAAATGATAATATTGCACTGCTGTGACATAAAAAACTGTGAGAATGCGTAGGCAACTATAGAGGATAGAGGAGAAATCCAGAGGAAAGGGCGAATGTATTGTGTGGCTGGAGCGCCAAATGATGTTAGCAACAAGAATAATACACATATACCAAGTATTCATACACACTCCTTTCCAAAGGATGTAGCTGTATGGCCAAAATGGATGCGTTTTGATCATTGCCATCGAGGAGATTTTACTCTTCAATGTCATCGGCCTTATGATCCATATCGGCTGTGAAGATGGCTGTTGTGAAAAACATACCACTAGTAAAATCAGGGGAAGATAACCAATGAATTCAGCTAAAAACAATGCCAATAAAGGGGCCTGTTCCCACAGCAACATAATACTTTTCGGCTGGCATTTTGCAAGCAAAGAATGGTGAGCTCCTTATTGTTGTTTATTTCACGTGCTTGAGATGTACTTATATTCCCTGTCTTTCCCTGTGACTACATTTGCGCTTTTCTTATCACATGAAAATTGAACCAGTTGTAGTTTCCATCATGTTTTAATAACAGAACTACATCATTTGTAATAAAGTTCAAGCCCTTTTCTAAACTGACTGATATCCTGTTGCATGAACAGTGCAAAACCTCTGGCGGATGCTGGCATAAACACAAGCTCAAAACGGCCATGTATTCTCGTAACCTAGGTTTCTGAAAATCCATCCCAGGAGCCATCAATTCTCCCTGCTCTTAAGAAACTACAAGTAACAACAGTAACAATGTCATTGTGATAACAGCACTGCAACAAGATAAATAAAGAAACACAAGTTTTATTGAATTAGATGGTAGCGAATCCAAGTGCTGTGTGAAAGTCGATACATTTGAAATATTAATTTACCCATTGGGTGAAATGGGTCATATGCCAATGTGGGAACTTGCCATCTGTTGTTAAAAGTGTACTGTGACACTTTATTAGGGTTGCCTTGGTTGGAGCAAGGGCACTGTGAACTGTCACTTGTTTGAGACTACTCAAACTTTTCCAGTGTCCTTTCAACCAACAGTTTCTTGCAGGGAATGTCTCTCATTTTCACTGCTTCACCAGAGTTTTCTTTTGAACTTCTACACTGTCATTTACAGAAGCTTTCTAATTTCTTCACAATCCTCCTTTTCCTGGGTGCTTGGATCTACCGTCAGGTCAAGCTTCTTTGAAATAGAATTAGCTGGGCTATATAAATGTTATGCCAGCCAGGGTGACTGCCTGCATGTGTTCCTTGCTGCTCTCACTTTTTCTAAGAAGCACTCTTTACTTTCCCTTTAGCTGACCACATGCCCCCTCTGTCACCATGCGTGCTCTGCTAGGTCAGTAGTCGAAGTACCACTGCTGTTGGCTCAAGGTGTCATTGCTGTAAGGTTTCATCAACCATGGTTGTAGGGTAAATGCTGAGCACAAAATGGGGGGATATTTAGGCCAACATCAGTAGGTTCACAAAGGTTAGAAATGGCAAACTCCTTGTCTGCCATTACAACATCACCTTGGGAAAAAGGCAAGTTAAGCAACCCTGACCTAGCTGTTGACTCCCTGTCTGAAATACTGCTTGCATATAATTGGGAAATAAATGTTATGTGGCGACTGGGTGCAATACCAATCAGTCCTTTAAATGTTGTATGACTCTTGTACAAGGAATAAGTCTCACTGTGCAAAACTAAAGAGGTTGGGGTCTGACACTTGATCTCTATTCCATCAATGATGACCCTTGTTTTGGGGTATTTATCCTTGAATGACTGGGGCATTGCCTTGTCTACTGTCTCTCTGTTCGGTTAGATGTTGAGGTAGCCAAAATTTTAAGTACAAAAAATTGATCCAGGAAATGCAGATCCTGTTTATTGTGGAAACATGCACTCTGAGTCTGTGGGACGAATCAAGTCCAAATAACCCAAGCCTCATTCTAACATGGACAACAAAGAACTCATTAGGATACTAAGTTCTTGATGCCTGCCAAGTTTATTTCCCTGTAACCCATCCACATTACTTGATGCTGAAAATTCTAAATCTTTTGTTGCGATGTTAACATAAACAATATTCTCACCATTCTCACCAGGGTTTAAAAGATTGTAACAAGCCAAAAGGGTTTTATAATTTGGAAATCCAGTGTAAAGATTGATGTCTGAATCAGAGTCTTTAAATCTTATAATTCCAAATTGGCTTTCGAGAAGCTCGTCAACATTTTTCAAAGATGTATATTTCCTTGCTGTTGAGACTTTATTTGTTCTTCTAGCCTTGAAATGTGTGTGTGCAAATTGCTGATTTCATAAGAAGCAGGATGCTCAAGACCAGGGGAAGATCGAGGAATGGCATCATCTATTAAATATCACCACCTGTTGAGCTTTTACGAAAATTAGTTTGCTCAAAGTGTAGCAAACAGATCTTAGTTACCTCTATGATCTGAAACGTTGGAGACATGTCCCATCAAATTTTTTTTTTTTTGCCAGGCCTACCTACCAAATGAAAACAGGGTGTAAGAACAACTGCAAAACAAAACACATATTTCCAGCAACAGTAAGTGTATTGTAATGACTGAGACATTTCAGTGAGTCATTTATGACGTGTACCGCTGGTAACATGTTTTGCAGTCACAATAAGAGAGCACATGGTCTGTTTTGAAGTTTTAGCTTTCGCTATGATTGTTGTACAAGATTTCTTTTTGTATTAGCGGAACAAGGCACGAAAAAACTTGTAAGTATCGATCGGTTTATATTTAGCTTTCCTTTCGTTTGTCATTCGGTTGTTATTTTGCTTTATTCAGCGGATTTATACATTAATTTCAGTGAATCGTTGTTCATGTAATATAAGAAGTTTGCAGTTCAGCACATCTCAAGTTTACCTTGTTGCCACCTTCCAGTAGCGAACAGTGGGTTCCCACATGTATAAAACAACAGGGATTAAAAAAAACACCTTAAGTCCTCCTGGATCTGTCACTGGAAGGCTGTGATGAGTGATCTTTCCTCTGTGCAGCCCTATCCACTCTTACAGCATAGCAGCACACAACAGTTATCAGACATGTTTTACCACTCAGAGAATGACTTGTTTTGGGGCTGAAAGAAACTGTAATCCAATGAGTACTGACTAGCACCAAACACTTGAAAACAGCTACTGTCAGCCCTTAGCAATGGCATTGCTATCAAACAGCCTCACTTTGGAGTGATCATCATCACATTTGCGATTGGTGTATGCTATTAATTTTATGGCTGAATGTTTTCCTCTCAGTCTACAGGTTACCAAAAGATTTGTTGCTTCAACACATTTTGATCGCTAGGTGGACCAAAAAGGTCTTTATTAATCTTTACCATTTGTAAATTTAGAACAAACTTTTAAATTCAATGCCAATAACTTTATGATAATCATAATTTTGTCAACCATATATTTTATGCCTGGGTTGATATATTTTAAAAAGCTCAATTCAATCCCTGTGCATCTTTCTGAACATTAGGCTCTCCAGGTATGTCTACCAAAGATGTCTATGGTGGCCGAGAACTGCCAATAGAAAAATCCGCATTTTTGAAAGAAAATTGTTTTCTTTTTTATTTTGATTTACATTTTTTTTTATTTTTCAATTTATTTTTTTATTTTTAAAATAGAGTGAAAGTAAAATCAATTGAAATAAAAATAAAATAAAATAAAACCAAAGTAAAATAAAATAAAACCAAAGTAAAATAAAATGAAATTATTCGACCCAGCCGAGAGCTGCCACTACCAGCATGCATTGCGTGCGTTACTGTCACACGCTCGAGTTCATCATGGCCGATGCATGGAAGAGGCTCAATGAAAAAGTTAAAGCAAAGCGTACCAAAAAAAACCAGCCCAAGGACCATCGAAGGAAAGATGAACTGACAGTTCAACGTTTTCATCCACGGTCAGTGTCAATGATTCGTTCACACTCTGCTCTGAACTCAGGGGCGAGAAAGTCATCATCAACAGTAAGGATGCCTGACTGGACAGCAGCTTCTTTTAGTTGATCATCAGTTACTTGAAGACCTGCACATTGCCAATAGAAAACAATGTTAGCATTCATCATCTAGTGTGACTGGCAGTGTCAGCACCACATTAGGTTTTTATAGATATGCGACTTTCAGGCCCAAAGATTTTAGCAACAAATAATTTCCTTCTGGGCAATAAAATTATGCCTTGAAATTTCTACAAATAAATTATCATTGGTTGATTGTTGAAGCATTATAACTATGCCATAGTTCACTTTGAATAAAACAGAAATATCCCAAAACCAGTTTTGACAAAACCTTATAATTTTTTTACCGCATTCTTCAAGCCCATATTTCTGAGGAAAACTGTAAATATGGTTTGGGACCCCATCTGGTAAAACTGTGTCCTTCTGGGCTCTGATCCTGTGGGAATTCCACACCATCTCCTTGAATGTATCTAGCTCTCTCTGAACCACAGGAACCATAATAAAAGAAAGAAGCTTCCTATGTAGGAAAACAAAATAAGCAAAGGTAACAAACACCTTGGTGTATAGGTAGTTTCAATTACAATATATAAGCCAGCAAGTTTTTTTTTTTTTTTTTTTTTTTTTTTTTTTGGGGGGGGGGGGGTTCCCTAACAAAAATTTTTCCTGGGCCCCCTCAACCATATCTATTTGACTCGAGTATATATAAGCTTTAGGGGGAGGGGATGTGTTATTGCATTCACACAGAAATTAATTAATTTGTTATAAAAAATGTATGTATATTAACTTTAGGCAAAATAATGTTTATGTTGATTGAGCTTTCAATCACCCACGTGCCATGCCCTAGCAAAACTGCAACATATTCTAAAACAATAACTCAATGTCACTTTTGGAGTTTAAAACAAACCCTTGAAATGAATAGCCTGTGTATGTGTGCGTGTGGGGTGGAGGTGGAGGTGGAGGGGAGACTTGCCCATTCTCACCTGTCAATATCATCATGTGGGTCATAATGCCCTTGATCTTTAAGCCATCTTAACTGACTTTTGAAAAATTTTTCCATTCTTTCGTGTAATTCTTTCCACCATCTTTCGATCTAGAGGAAAACGTTTTTTTAAATGACATTTTGTGAAATGTGCATTTGCCGGAAATCAGATGATAGGGTGGATTAAAATATTACTTGTTACTGAGGGAATGATGAAATAACAAACAACAATAATACTTTTCCTGGCACTCAAATAAAGTCACCGAAAGACTCGTTAACTAATTTGGCACACTCACATAATATAATTAGACAGCACTTGAGAGATGAGCTTACTTACTTGGTTTGAAGTTGATGGACCATACAAAATTGTGTCTGCAGGATCCACAACGTCAGTGTGATGTCTACGAAGAAAGGCATGAATTGTGGCCATGGTGCCTGTTTCTGTACCTTTGTCGATCCTGATCATCGCAGGAATTACCTTGGTCTCCATTATATGCTCCAAGTACCAACAACCAATCAATTGCGGGTCACAGTTCTTATTCCAAACTCGCAACCATAGCAGCTTTCTGCTGGCTGTATCTAAGCAGCCATAAATAGCAATCGGAAATGTGGAATTTTGGAAACCCATTAATTTATCATGACCGTCCAGGGAGTGGACCCAGTTTGGTCCTTTCGAAGAGAAGTTTCCTTTCTTTCGCCTTGCCTTCTTAGCTCCAACGCCTCCGCGAGCAGCAAGTCCATCGGGGTCAAGATCAGACATCACATCGTAAACTTGATCTCGCGTAACTAACAAGTCATATTTTTGTCTTATTTTCTTGTGCATGCTTCTATATCCCAATAGCTTTCCTGGTCCTTCCAATTCCTTTTTAACAGCCTCTTTAACATCTTCAACCGAAACAGTGTCATCCCTGTAATAAACTTCGAAATGGCGTAAACGTCTGTCGAGTGTTCGGATACTCCAGGCGTATTGAGGAAAGTCTCTCCGTAAAAAATCGATCGCTTCTTCGCGTTTGAGGCCTTGTTTGACATACTTCTGCAGTGCACCTTTAAGGAGATTGTCTTCTTTCCACGATGAAACCCTGCTATCCGCCATTTTCGAGAACAGCCCGGGAGAACAGTCCCTATATTCCCGCCATTTTGGATCTTTACGATGCACGCAATGCATGCTGGTAGTGGCAGCTCTCGGCTGGGTCGAATAATTTCATTTTATTTTACTTTGGTTTTATTTTATTTTACTTTGGTTTTATTTTATTTTACTTTGGTTTTATTTTATTTTACTTTGGTTTTATTTTATTTTACTTTGGTTTTATTTTATTTTACTTTGGTTTTATTTTATTTTACTTTGGTTTTATTTTATTTTGTTTTTATTTCAATTGATTTTACTTTCACTCTATTTTAAAAATAAAAAAATTAATTGAAAAATAAAAAAAAATGTAAATCAAAATAAAAAAGAAAACAATTTTCTTTCAAAAATGCGGATTTTTCTATTGGCAGTTCTCGGCCACCAAAGATGTCTATTCAAAAATAAATTTAATGTGAAATATTTTATGTTAAAACGTCTATTATAATGCATCATTTCACTTTTCAAATCCATTTGACATTGGACATAGGAAAAAATTATTCAAGTTCAATTAATTGATTTTTTTAGGTTCTGGATGTCATTTGAAATGTGATATCACATTGGGATTCTATAAAACAGTGTGCTCCTTCCATAAAGTTCTTTAAGAACATCAAGTAATTTTAGAAGACATTGCTGCTTTCACGATCCAAATATTGCATTGAGTTACATACTGAATTGAATGACATGTTACTGTACAATCTGTTCTGTACATAGGAACTTTCTGGAACATGAAAATGTTAAAGTAGACCCCTTTGAGGAGAAAGTTGGCTAAATGAAATCCCTAAGTTATAAAAATTTATTTAATTTTTCACATTATTCTTACAGGTAATTAAGAGGCTGTGACTGTAAATATCGAGAATCACTGGCCAGGCTAAAAAAATCGAAAATTCTGATAATTTGCCTGGAAAACCCTTTTAGGGAGATGTATTCAAAAAAAATATTTGGAAGTTTGAAAAATCAAATGTTTCCGAGAAAATGGGGAAAAACGAAAATTTGGGTTTCTACCCAATTAATTATGCAAAAAATACAGTAAAAATTGACCAACTTTAGTGTGCGAGTACTGAAGGAGGATGTTTGGTAAGAAATCGGGGGTGTTTTTGCTTCAAAGTATAATTCATTTGATTTTTATTTGTCGCATTTTAAGGAGCTTTGGTTTAATTTTAAAATTCACATGATTTTTTAACAAAGTGCTGTCAAACGCTTGTTGCAAAAAGCGAAAAATCGAGCAACTTCAAGCCTTCAAAACGCATCTTGGCATGTGAGAAATCATATCAAACTACATGATGGCACAAAGTTTGGTCCCTATATGAAAATAATCTGAAATAAAAATCTGGGTAATTCAGAAAAGTGCCGGCAAAATAAAAGAGTTTGCAACACACTGTGGCCAAGGTCAAGAATTTGCATGATGCAAATCAGTTGTAGAAATCGTACTTGAGAGCTACGAAGTAAACAAGATAGTTCAAGATGGTTAAAAAACTCTTTCATGTGGAAATGATATGAAATTATAGAATAAAAAGTCTGCAGACATTGCTGAAGTAAATTGATGTGTGGATACGAAATTTTCTGTTAGTTTGAATTGCAGAAGACTGTTATTGTCGACCCGCTATTTCAACAACACTACCTACACCTAACTATAGATAAGGGCCGCTGTATAGTTCACCATTTTTGTTGACAAGTGGTTTATTATCGACATCGTTCTTAGCTGAATAGTTACGTTTTCGGCAACTGCGATATTTCTTTTGAAATATCTTGGATATCTTGGAAAAAGTTATGTGAGTAAACAAAGTCACACAACACCGCAAGCTTCTGCTGTGAAGTTTTTCACCTCAAGATAACAGCCCAAATATTTTTATGCTGTTTACTCTTATCTTTTTTTTTCGGAAAAATGGCCACATTTCTGTCATAAAACTTGATAAAAAGGACTTATGTCACAGTAGCAATTATACCGTGTTGCAGTCCGGGCTATAATTCTCTATGATGCAATCATGGTCTTTTTCCTAAAGGTAAACACGTGCGAGGTTTTTCGTAGAGCATAAACAGAAAACGATGTCATTCTGTAGCTTTGCTTCTCTTCTTGGAGGGGCTTGTGGTGCAAGTTCTGAAAATCCAGACATTCATCAAATTGAAAGACTGTACTAGGGATCAAGTGTTTCCATGTCCAAAAGAAGGCTGCATGCATAGTTTCCAACGGCACTCTTCTCTAGAAAAGCATCTCGCGTTCGGAACATGCACAAAGACGGTTGAAAGGGAGACACTTCTTGAGAAAGCGAAAGTTAAATATGCTGCAAGGCTCGAGGAAGGTTCAAGTTCCGTGCCAACTATTCCTCTACCTCCTGAAACCTGTCCTCGTAGCACTGGATATGTAACACTGCCTCAAGGCTTCGCTTTAAAACAAGTAAAGAAAGTTTACCGGTTTAATGAAAAGAAATGAGAGTACCTGACTTACCATCAAACAAGAAAGTGGCAAGAAGGTCGACGCAGAAATTGTTGCAACAGAAATGAGAAGAGCAAAGGAATTGAACGGGGAGCGCTTGTTCAATGTCTCTGAGTTTTTTTTACTTAACAAGTAGCTTCATTTTTTCCAGAATGGCAGCAAAAGTGAAACAGCAGACAGCCCCTGCGCACAAGCTGTAACTGAGCAAGATCTCATTGCTATGGAGAAAGAATTTAATTTGTCATATGCTAAGGAATCTATTTTTGAGCAGTTAAGAGTGAATGTCTCTAAAAATAAAAGAAAAATAACAAAATCGCGGACATTGTTAAAAAAATCGTTTCGTCTCATTTTTTGTCTACAGGTAGCTATAGGTACTACTTAAAGTGAAGTGAGGTTAGTTTCTGTAAATACTCATTTTAACGGAAATAAACTGATATTAATTGCATGATCGAAAATGAGTGCCTGCGAGCTCTAAATTATGCAGTTTTCAGGCCGTCCTTGCATGAACTAAAATGCAACAGCAGGACTTCTCTAGCTATAAATATATACATGTGGCCTTCCATTACCAAGTTGTAGTGATATTTTTTGCATCGTGTCCTTCCTGACAAAACCACAGGTTAATTACTGGTGGACGTGTTCACCATATTTAATTCATGCCAAACCTGGCCTAATGTAGTGTGGCAAAAATGCATGAGGTAGTTTCTCAAAATCTCCAGCAATACTATCACGAGGGCTTATAAGGTGGGTCTTCAAATTCATCGTTTCATTCTTCTGGTATCTTCTGCTGTTTTGATGTACCAACCAACCAAACTTCGCTAAAATTGTAAATGGCGCTTTATTTAAAAAATTTCACAAATATAAACTGTACAGTGAAAACCTTATGGAACGAAAATAACAATACAATTTTCCCACGGAAAACAAATGTGATCAGTTAACGAAAGTAAACAAAAAACAAAAGCGTAATAATCGTTGGTGAGGGGAATAAAGACAACGGTTGCTTTAACTCCAGCAGAAAAAGAATGTCTTAATCTTAACTTGATATTGTAGGTGGCGTTTGTGGCGCAGAGGAAGCCACAAGCGTTTTTTACAATTTTCAGGTGTTGAGACAGAGATTGAAATTATCTTAGCAAGAAGCGGGATTTTCGTGAAGCCTGATACACGGAAGAGCTGCTCCTCTTCCAAACCTGGAGAAAAGAAGAATGAGTATTGAACCTGTAGGATTAGAACATTTTGTTTCTTTCATAACGAGTCCACACGTTACTTAAGATGTTCCTTTCGGGGAAAAACTTCTAAAATTGTCGACTGGCGAGATCATAAAAACACCCAATGTTATCAGAACAATAGCAGAGCGTATTGTCCAATAGTATCAACAATACTGCTGTGAAACCAACTTTGAGCCTATGAGTAAGAGAACTCTACAGAGAGTTTGGGCCGTGTGTTCTTCATCTGTTCGCAAGTCTCTGTAAGGACTTGATAACTTTTCAGCATCAGGAATGGAAGCAATTGATGCCATGGAAAAACTCGTAGACGAGCATGTTGACTGTGGCAAGACTCAGCAATGAGCGAGGGAAATTAAGCAGCAACTTCGTTTTTCAAAGTAGTACCTAAAGGGCGACTACAAGGTGGGTGCATGAGAATCAATTAAGTAATCTTTTTGAAATGTCGATCATATGCGCATGCAATGCTTTGTAAATATACACTGAATCACGCGCTTGTCATTTTACTTTTTATTTTAGGTACATGTAGTGGAGGCCTCAAAGGTTCCCGATCATTGTCAAATTTACGCGCTAAGTGACCAGAGCAATGCTGAATTTCGGGACTCCTTCGACCATCTCCACAATGAGTCACATGAGCAATGTTATGAGTTACAGGAAGTATTGTGCACCATAGAAGATGAGTGTTCAAGTGCGCTCTCGTCAGCAGAAGATCAAGCTGACATGCAATTTACCATCAAACAGGTAAGGGATGATATCATTTGCTGGAAAGCCCATCAGCTACGTTCAGTCCATCAAGCTGAGGCGAAGCATTCAGTTTTAGCCAGACTCGACAGCCGATCGGTGTTGTTAGTCCAGGACTGGGCAATGAAATATATGCCCCGAAAATATCGAGAGGCACAGTCAGATTGCTTTGCGAAGCGAGGATTGCCATGGCACATTAGCGTTGCCATAAGACGGTCAGAGGGTTCTGAGCACTTTGAATCACAGACACCTGTTCACGTATTTCAAAGCTGTGCCCAAGACAGTGTGACTGTGGCTTCGATAATGCTTGACTGCCTCACTACCCTGAAAAAGGAAATTCCAGAGCTGGAAATGGCTTATTACTCCAGGGCCAGGAGTTATAAATTCGGCTCGATTTGTAGTTTTCGACACAAATCTGCATTCTTGCGCAATATTGTGATGTAATCCCAGTGCGCTTTGCAGGCGAGTTTTTCCATTTGACAGGCTCGTGTTTCTGTATCATGCTCAAGCTCACGTTTGTTCAATTTGTTCAATTCGCTCAAGCTCATGTTTGTTCAATAAAAGGCACTGGACGTAGCCGTTCATTCCTGGCTAAAGGTAAGCTGTCTTGTGTATTCTTTGTTATTTTGAGTTGTGCTGTAGCTTTTTTCCAAACACTGCAACATTCTCTCACCGTTGAAAACAAATAAAGGTTGAATGCCAATGAATGCCTTGATACCTTGAATGCCAAACTTACGAAAGTACACTGAATGCCTGAACAAGAATCGGGATTAAGCTTAAACTAAAATGCACTACTTAGAACCTGAATGCCAGAATTCCTATGTAAACAACTTAGAAGTGAATAATGGCCGTAATTGTTGTTGCCCAGAGTCTACATTTACATCTGTACCTGGCAAAGACAAATCTATTTCAATAGAGGGCTGTAGATCTCGATATGCCGAGTTTATCCATTGTCATTGTGTCAAGGCTAGCTGCCATACAGTTCGACGTGATCGTGAACCAAGCAGAATTCCAGTGAAACGGCTCACTCGTGTTTTTAAAAAAAGCAGGAAAATAAGGAGGCTAGTGAAAAAACACATTATCAAAAATATACCGCGGTCATCTGGAATTCATATTTATATTACATTTAGAAGTGCTCGTCCAACTGTTGATTTTAGTTATAACACCCATATGTTTCAGTGGAGATCTGGACACAAGGTTAAACCAAGAAAAAAGCGAGTTTTCGCATCTCACTTTGCTATAGCATCACGCAGAAGAAACCATAAGACTACTAACCTGAAGTTTAAGGTTAAGGAAAATTGTAGATTTCCAAATGCAGTAAGTAAAGATATTTTAAAAGAATCACGTGTTTATAAGAATTTGAATCATAGGGTAAACTATTGCCAATCACTCCTTTGCAGAGATATAGAAAAAAATCCAGGCCCTGTCTCTGTTGTTCCCTCTCAAACACTTCATGCACCATATTGTCAAGGTAATGTTGCAGTGTTTGGTCAAAATGCTGGACAGCAATGTGCAGCCATGTCTTTATGTAGTCTAATATACAATGACAAGAAGTCGATTACTTCTGCAGAAGACTTGGTTGAAATTATGAACATTGGTAACAAACTGTATTCTAGTCTATCGACCATATCCAGAAACTCTTTCTTGATGTTAACAGAGTTACCTTCAATGATTATGGTGTTTGACACTAATTATCACCTCCAATATAGTGAAAGTTATACTTGTAGGTTACATGCGAACAGCAATTATTCAATTGAAGGCTTTCCTTACTGCATGCCTCTGGTTAGTGCTTTGCAAACTTTAATAGCAGAAACCTATAACTCATTCCTTTTGACAATACAGATTAATACTGTAGCAATTTATCGTACTTTACATGGTGCATATAAGGTATTTGATTCCCATGCTAGAGATTCATTTGGTTTGGCCCATCCTCAAGGAACTTGTGTTTTGTTGCATTTCCAGGAAATGAATAAATTAGTGGAATATTTTCAGAGTTTATATACTAATGATGCCATATTTGAGCTGAAAGGTTTAAACATTTCTGTATCAGAAATTGGAGTTCATGATCATAACAAGCCATTTTCATCAGAAGATCAAAATGTAACTTGTCAGACAGCTGCTGTTAATGAAGATATCACTATGGAAATTGATGCAAATATTAGTCTTTTAAAAAAGAGTTGTGCCATATGCTTTTATTGTGTTTGTTTTTCAATTATTAAACCATGTAGTTATTGGAAGTCATTTACATTAGAAGCTGTTGTTGAACATGGAAATATATTTTATAAAGAAAACCTTGACACCAGTAACCAGTTCACAATTGATGGGTTACCACTTAGGCTTAAGATCTATGATGCTGATGTAGATGTGAAATACAGTTCAAAACATCAAGGAATCTTTTCATGTAGTTCTTTGTCCAGCAAACTAGTACTTCAGAGGTTAATTTTAGACAACAAAAATGTGAATACTGGATTTCTTCTATGGCTCTCTGGTTACTGTCTAAGTTGTGTAATTTGCCATACTAGCCGTGTTGCTGCTAAAACAAAGACAAAATATTTTGTAATGGAATTCCATGAAAATCAAGGACTTCAGGTACTTGAACATAATCATGTAGATTCTCTTATTGAAACTTTGTGTAAAATTGTAACAAAAAAATTCAACTGTCAAGAAATAGAGTACTGTATTCAATTTCTATTGTGTACGTCGCAAATTACCAACACTGAAAGGCAAAGGATCATGAAAAAGCATAAGACAACTTCACAGAAAAAGATTACTGCAAACAAATGCAAAAAGAACTATGGTCAAATGGAACCTCCTAAGAAAAAAGCCCACTTAGAACAAAAAGCTGCATATTACAAAAATGTGTTCTGTAAAAAGAGGAAAGGAACCAAAATAAACAAACCTTGCAATAAAAGAGCCAAACAAGTTCCAAACATCAGAATAAAACCTCTCACAATGACTTGAATCATTTTATTTCAATGTTTCATAAAAAGATTATGGAAGGTCCATTCTACACATGTACTGTATGCAATAGACTACTTTATAGAAAATCAGTTACTCAAGTAAAGGAAGCCAAATATAGCACTCGCTTTCTTTTAAATAAGAAGTCATTTGATAAAAAGGAATACATTTGCAAAACATGTGACTTGAAGGTTTCAAAAGGGCAAGTTCCATGTCAAGCTGTGTACAATAAACTGCTTGTTGATGAAATCCCTGCAGAACTTGAGTCTCTAGAAAAGCTTGAACAGATCCTTATAGCACAGCGCATTGTATTCGAGAAAATAGTAGTAATGCCAAAAGGCCAACAACGAAAAATTAAAGGAGCTATCTGTAATGTGCCTGTTAATTGTGAACAGACATCCAATATTTTACCATGTCCTCCAGAAAGTTCAGGCATAATTATGTTGAAACTTAAAAGGAAACTCCAGTTCAGAGGTCATGTCTACTTTCAAGCAGTGCGACCCGAGTTTATTGTCAATGCCCTTATGTGGCTTAGGATGAATAATCCATTGTACAGCAATATAGTAACATGCATTGAAAATATTGACCCAAGTCTAACAAAATTTCAAGACTGTGAAATACATGTAAATGCAGGTATATGTACTGACAATGAAATATGCTCTTCAAATCATAACTCTTGTGAACAAGACACAATACAATCTGGTGATGACAATGAAGAAGAAAAAAGATGACCCTTTGAATGAATTTAGAGCACCAATTAATCAAACATGCCTACAGTCTGTTATACCAGATTATCCTGTAACTGTAGAGCTAAATAGTAATAATTCATCAGGAAATGAAGTTTACAATATTGCACCTGGTGAAAATAAACATCCGGTGTCCTTTATGAGTGACAAACAATGTGAGGAGCTGGCATTTCCAGTATTGTTTCCTAAAGGAAGATTTGGCTATAAAGTTGAACGAGAGGTTAAATTGTCACCAGTAAAATACTTTAATGCAAGACTGTTACATTGTAGCGGCAGATTTGCAACAAATCCAGAATATCTATTCTTTGCACAGTTCATAATAGAACAGAAGAAAATTTCAGATAGTATTAATATTGCTCTAACAAAAGTTCATGGACAGCCTATTACAGCATCTCATTTAAGATCAAATACACAAAGTTTGCAAAATCTTATTTGTCAAGATCAGGCTTATTTATTTTTAAGACAAATTCCAGGTACACCACCTTACTGGCAAAAATTCATGTATGAAGTAGTAGCAATGGTAAAGCAGCTTGGTATTCCATCATGGTTTATGACATTCTCTTGTGCAGATCTTCGATGGTCTGAGCTTTTTCACATTATTGCTAGGACAAAAGGAATTCGCCTTTGTCACGGTATCGCCATCTTGAAAATGACGTAATGCTTTTTGGCATGAAAACGAGGTCACGCGTGGTTCTTGACACACTGAACACTCGAGCGATCATGCGGAACAAAGATCACTGTTGTGTTCCTAAGTGCAATAACAATAGATCAAAAGTGCAGTCTAATATAACCTTTCATCAATTCCCGAAAGACAAAGACTTAAGAAGACAGTGGATTATAAAAATTAAAGCGTGATGTCGGCCGGTCCTTCAAGGTAAATGGCCTTTTATATATCATAGTTCAGTTTAGCGTCGTTTCAGCGTTGTTTATATAGCAAACCTTATATTTTTTCCGATATCTTTCAGATAACCAACAGTACAAGAGTTTGCTCTGATCATTTTAAACCCACAGATATAAAAAAAAACGCTAACAGGAAAAAAAAGTGTACTCGTTAATGGTGCTGTACCATCCGTTTTTGAATGGACAACTTTATCAAAGAAACGAAAGTCACCAACGAAACGCGAATGCACAACACGTACTAACACAACCGAGATTGATGTCGTGGATAATATACAGCCAATCTCCTCTACAGGTATTTATTTTTATGAAATCGTACTTTAGGCCCGCCCTAAATATTTCTAAACATGTTATTTTCTACATTCCCACAGTCGAAATTGGGCCCATCGAAGATTCAAGCGTAGACGAAAATGTCATCGATACTAGCAGCCACATGGAGGACTCCACCGTAACTACTGACACCACAATCATAACACCTACTGTCAACCTACATGATTATTTATTTACTGAACCCGAAAAGCCTGTAGAAGAGCTACTTGAGGCAGCGCAAGCTCGTATCGAACAATTAGAACAGCTGCTTTCAAAACAATCTTTTACAGACAACTGAAAGGGATGTCAGACAAACGCGTTAGATTCCATACTGGCTTTTCGTCATTTGCTATTTTTGTGAGTACCTTCAATGCCCTTAGACCCACAGCTGAAAGTATGTTTTCATGGTCCCAAGTACAGAGAGCACGAGCAAAAAAAGGGAAAGATATAAGTAACATGAGAGACACTCTCAAGACATGCAAACTTAGCTTATTTGATCAGTTTTATTTATGCATTACTAAGCTGAGGCTGGGTACTTTTAATGAGAAACTAGCCAGTGAATTTGATATTTCTATTTCAACTGTGAGTAGAGTTTTTATTTCTTGGGTTAACTTTCTCTATTTTGTTTTGGGAACCATTCCTATATGGCCCTCTCGGGCAAAAATTGACAAACATATGCCTAAGTGTTTTAAATTGTTATATCCTAAATGCCGTGGTATTATTGATGCCTCAGAGATCAAGGTACAAGCACCATCTAGTATGGTTTTGAATAGCAATTGCTATTCATCATATAAGAGCCACACAACTTACAAAGGCAATGTTGTAATATCTCCATCTGGGGAAATTATTCATGTAAGTTCTCTTTTTGAAGGAAGTATTTCTGACAAGGAGCTTGTTAAGCAATCAGGTTTGTTGAATTTACTTGAGCCAGGTGATCAAATAATGGCTGATAAAGGATTTACTATAGAGGATCTATTAAAGCCAATAGGTTGTGGAGTAGCAATGCCTGCCTTTTTGTCAAGTAAGGGTCAATTTTCAAAGAAAGAACTTTCAACCAGTAAACAGATACATAATTTAAGAGTCCATGTGGAAAGGGCCATAAGAAGGGTGAAAGAGTTTCACTATTTTGATAAAGTTATACCTCTTACAGTAGCTGGCAGCATTAATCAAATATGGACAGTGGCATGTCTTATTACCAATTTCCAGGGGCCTTTGTTGCATGAAAAGCAATATATCTAAATATGTATACAATTGTTGTAAAATAGATGGAAGAGTAAGCATCATTTAAAGTAAAGTATGTAAGGATCTGTAATACAAATAGTACTAACAACTTTTAACAACTAAGAGTTAGTTGACATTGAGTGAGGGTACACTACGTATTAGGTCCAACCTAGGTAAGAACTATGCCATCTGTTAACATGTGATGTGGAAGGGTGAATAGTAGGGTGGCCCTATCCCCTAGGGGCACCCTTTTCGTATGTACATGGCATATTGGTTAGGCATTAAAATAAACAGTAAAATCAGTAAAAATTATATTGTTAGTACTATTTTTGTTTTACAGATTCAATGCAAGCTTTCAAACTAGCTTTTTGGAAAAAAAAAAATTATGAATTTAATAACTTTACATTTATTCACAAATTTCATTATTGCCAAATATTATAAAAATGCCCTTTTGGGGTTTAAATACAAAACCTGTTGAAGTCATTCATGTATTTTTTTATTTATCATGTTTGTACAGAATGTTCTGTTTAATAACAGTAAAAAAACTATTAAATGGCTTGAAATACACCCAACTTAGTCACAGTATTTGAATGCATGATAAACAATGAAATATGTACAGCTGTTTGTAAAAATTATGGCGCTTACAATATATTACAGACATATAGGCTTAAATGAAACTGAATTATCATAAGTATTGTATTTTTGGAAAAAATACAAAAACTATTAAATTACCAATCATGAACCCAATGTTTTTAAAGTTGTGGCAATAATTTCTGCAAACAGCTGTGTAATGATAATTACTAGAACAAGTTCTGAGTCTAATTAGGTTTGACTTGTTACATTTTAACATTTTAAGAATGCTGATTCAAATGTCTTTACTCCACTTCCCACCAAACTTTGTCACACACAATTAGCTTGTTACTTAGGCACGAAGTTATTTTGTATAAGAGACATACAATAAATTATTGAACACATGTATTCAGGTGATAATCAAAAAAAAATAAATTCAGTTTGTCCAGCATTTCAGAAAAGAGAAGTTCATCAAAATATACTCGTTCACAGTGAAATTCGTCCTTGCAGTAAACAAAGAAATCGCACCACTGACTTCCTGTTAAACCAAGGCATCCCATAACTTGATAATAATACTTGTGTGTCTTCTTCAATGAATATGACCCATTTCGTTCATTAAACTTTAAATACTGAAGGTTATCCAGATGACTTGCTGGAGAGCACTTTATTTCTATCAGGCCCCATGGATGTTGTTCAGTGTCGTCAAACACTCTTCTGTCTGGGCTACAGCCTAGGTGTGGGAGACATGGGTTTATAAGAAAACCTACTAGGTGAGTGTCTCTGCCAAACTGTGTTTTGTACATATCAGCAGCTACCCCCTCATTTTGTATCCCATATTTCATGGCTGCAGTTTGGATTACTTTTCCCTTTAGTAAACGCGTAGAAAGGATTTCATGGTCTTTTCTTCTTGAGCATATATCTTTGAAATTTGAAGCTGTAAGCCTAAACTTCCTTAGTTCATGCCATGCTGTTGTAGTTGACTGTTCCCTTGTCTCCATTTCAAAGTCAATAGACTGTTGACCTGATATTGCAAGGGAGCTGAAGAAAAGGTCTTGTTTTTCATTGAGCACTGTATCTGGATAGCTTAAAGATGGAAAGTTGAATGCAGGTAGCTGTATGTTAATATTGCTCTTAACTTTCAATGGCTGTTGATAGCTTATGACACAGCCTTTTGGCACCTTTCCAAAGGCCGAGTCTACTAAAATTGGAGGCTCACTTTGTTCATCTTCCCATATTCTCATAAATCCAGGTTGATTGTTG